GGCAGCTCTGGGTCCATACAACTTCCATATGTCATACTTTTTCTTTAATAGATTTGTGGAGTTAGTGAAAAGTCTAGTTGAAGGTATTGAAACCTTGAAGTTGGGAAAGAAAGAAGAATGCAAAGATTGTGTATACAAGAGGTATATATAGAGGGAATGGAGAACAAAATTTCCAACTCAACTGCTGCCCAAGGCAACAACAAAAAAAGGAAAAGAAAAGAAAAGAAAATAATTCAAAGCAACTGCCACAGTGCCACCCGAGGCTCTCAATCCACACACAACAAAACCCTTTATACCTGACACCCTGAGAGATTTTAGAAACATTAACCTCAATGGTGAGAATCACTCAAACTTCTAAACCTTCATAGAAGTGTTAATTTATTTGTACATTCTTCTTTTTTTTGTGTATTGTGAATGTCAATTTGGGCCTATTTTGTACTTCACCCTTACCTTGTGGGAACACGCTGGTTAAATTATGGCTTTTCATGCAGGGGTATGGCAGGTGACCTCTATTTGTTCCTACATATTGATGAGAAAGAAGGAATCTGGAGGGATGGTCTTAACCTTTGCTCAAAGATTAGTATAGATTATACTGAGGCAATACTAGGGACCATTGTCAGGGTAATTCTGTCTCAAATTCTCTCAATCTCTTTTTAAATTCTCAATAGATTTGAATTTACTCAAATAAGTTACTTCTTTTTTTGTTCTTTTGTTGGGGGGGGATTGTGCCTGGAAAAACATATTTAAAATTTTTAATTACTCAAGCACACCCATATTATGTGTGTCACAATAACAATGGTAACAATGGCGATAATGGAAGAAGAAAATGACTACAATACCCCTTACTGAGGTGTATAATGGAATTATGTTAATACAGTGCTCACACATCTACCAACAGAAGCAAATAAGGCAATCTAAATGAGCTAAACTGCAGATATTTTTTATGCAAATTTTTACTTGTTTTAGTTTATTTCTTTTATTACATTTTAGTTTTTAATGATGCATTCGTTTTATTGGCTTCAAAAATATTTTACATGCTCCCTCCCAACACACACACATGCACTCACAGAAAAATAGTGGTGATATGGTTGCACACATGCATGTGTAATTTTCTTCCTCAGGTGGAAAGTAGTGGCATGAATTATCAATAACGTGCAATGTATATAACAAGTTGCATTTGGGTTAACGTGAAAATTACTTATTTTATTTGACATGGAGTACTTAAGTTTTTTTTCAGGTAGAAACAGTTAAGGGTTTGCAAGATCTTCAGATTCCTTCTGGGACTCAGCCTGGTGATGTAATAAAATTGCCTAATATGGGTGTTCCAAACATTAAGAAACCTTCTATGCGAGGTGATCATCATTTTATCGTGAACGTTGAGATTCCAAAGGAAATCAGGTTCAGTTCCTTCTCTCTATTCTATGCACTTTCTTCAACCTATAAGTACAGACTTTTTGACTTGAAAACTAAATCTGTATATAACACATACACATTATAATTTTTGAGAGGTAACTGGGATTTATTAAATAAAAGAACACATGAGAGGATGTACAATCAGAAAAATAGGAAAGAAACAAGGATTACACTGGAAGAATTCTATCACTATACAAAGAATCCCTGCAAATCCCTGATTTAGCTAGACCATCAGAAATGGAATTTAACTCCCTAGGAATCCAGACAAGGTTTGCATGCATGTTGTTCAGAACAATGTTTTAAAATATGGAGCCGTAGAGGCGTGACACAAGGTGTTCCACTACTTGGAGGTGTGATTTGTAGTTTAGAGTGCAAAAAGTATAAGCCTTTTAAGCACAAGGAGGCGTAAGTGTTGTTTAGATGTTTTATATGTTTTTGTTATTGTCTTATGTGGTTAGACTTAAACACAAATTCATAAGAGGTGTAAGCCTCTTATATAAAGTGTAATGAGGCATACTGATGCGGGAGCTGAAGAGTCAAAATTGGAATTTTATGATATTTTATGTATTTCTGTATTTTTGGACAGTAAGGGTGTTTTTGTCATTTTTCATTTTTTCTGTGGGGTCCAATAATAGGGTTTAAATTGTCTAGTTATAGTTTGTTTATGTTTAAAATTTCAGAGTCATTGCATAAGTAGGATTAGAGTTATTGAATCTCCTTTGAATTGAAATAGGATATGACAACTTAGTTTGAATCCTACTAGGATTATTGAGTCTAGCAGTTTGACTTCTAAGAATATTATGAGTTTAACAGTTTGACTCCTAGGATTATTATAAGCTTAGAGTCTATAAATATGTATGGACGTGTTACACAAAAGCAATGAAATATTATTGAGTTTTCTTCAGCTTATGCTAGCTACGATGAGTGATTCCCATGCCCTAGAGTGATTCTAGGCACCCTGTGAGTGATTCCAGGTATTTTCTCTCTTCTTTCTCTCCCTATTTTCTCTCTTATTCCTTCAAGAAGCCATTACAGTCATCGGAAGCCATATAACTCTGATCAGTAAGACCATTCAACATTCTCTAAGGACTAGAACTGAGCTGGTCCTACATCACGTACACATCATACGCCTCTATGCTAGAAGCATACACCTCAAGTGTCTGTAGACTTCTAGGTTGCACCTCCAGGTGTTTTCTTAGTGCCTTGTCACTTTCTAAAACAATGGTCCAGAATATCTCTTGCCTCAGTCAAGTAATGAGCTAGTATCAAGGGGCCTCCATCTCTCATTCCTAACTTGTTAATTGTGTGTGCTGAGTCACCTTCAATGGTTTTGTTTAAGAATCCCAAGTCTCTAGAATCTGGCAATCCTGATCCCAGTAAGAGCCACCAGCACTTCAGCCTTTGAAGAATCACCAATTTCTGTCGGGCCACTAAATGCCCGACAAATATTTCCATCCATTCCCCCTGATCACATGTCAAATTCCTGCCTCACCTGCATTCCCCAAGGCATTTCCATCAAAGTATAATTTCAATATCCTCTCCTGTCGAGTGGTAGGATCCTGGTGGACGGGCAGTCTTTTAGAGAAAAAGGCAATTGATTACACTTTTCTGCATGTCATTCAAGGAGATTCCTTCTTTTCTATTCATTTATTCTTCACAGTACCTTAGCTGTGACTACTAATGATTTTCCAAACTGATTAACTGTTGAAATATTTTCGTTAAAAAGAGTTATTGGTAACAGCTTCAAATTTGCATTAGCATATCATGTTACTTTGAAATACTAAAAGGAAATTTTATTAGTGTTAGAGTGAGCCGAATAGGGGTAGTTTAGTAATCTCATGTCAGTTAAGTACTTTGCTTATGTGGCTGTTTTATTAGAGTAATCTGCCCCACACTTAAGTGAGGGCAGTTTAGTCTTTGTAAGTGTAATTAGAACCTAATAAACATAAGGGGGTCGACTAAATGGGAGACTAATCAGTTTTCGACTAAACCCTACTGTTCTCTCTTTCTCTTGTCTTCTTCCTCATCTTCTTCTTCCTTCTTCACTGGTTCGGACTACTGTAGCTGCTCCAAAACATGGTATCAGAGCAAGGTTTCTGACCTGCTTCCGCTTGCAAAGCATCTCAGCTGTGTTCGTGACACCCTCTTCTTCGTTTCTGGTTAGTTAATGGAGAGAGCTGGTTCGCCCTAGGTCTGAGATATCA